GCCGATTTTGCAGGTTTTCCTACTTACAAAGCATGTAGAGGTCTGTAGTTTTTATCATAGGTACACTTCAACTGTGAGAGACGGAATCTAAAACAAAAATCCAGAAAATCACATTGTATGATTTTTAAGTAATTCATTAGCATTTTATTGCATGACATAAGTATTTGATCACCTACCAACCAGTAAGAATTCCGGCTCTCAAAGACCTGTTAGTTTTTCTTTAAGAAGCCCTCCTGTTCTCCACTCATTACCTGTATTAACTGCACCTGTTTGAACTCGTTACCTGTATAAAAGGCACCTGTCAACACACTCAATCAAACAGACTCCAACCTCTCCTCAATGGCCAAGACCAGAGAGCTGTGTAAGGACATCAGGGATAAAATTGTAGACCTGCACAAGGCTGGGATGGGCTACAGGACAATAGGCAAGCAGCTTGGTGAGAAGGCAACAACTGTTGGCGCAATTATTAGAAAATGGAAGAAGTTCAAGATGACGGTCAATCACCCTCGGTCTGGGGCTCCATGCAAGATCTCACCTCGTGGGGCATCAATGATCATGAGGAAGGTGAGGGATCAGCCCAGAACTACACGGCAGGACCTGGTCAATGACCTGAAGAGAGCTGGGACCACAGTCTCAAAGAAAACCATTAGTAACACACTACGCCGTCATGGATTACAATCCTGCAGCGCACGCAAGGTCCCCCTGCTCAAGCCAGCGCATGTCCAGGCCCGTCTGAAGTTTGCCAATGACCATCTGGATGATCCAGAGGAGGAATGGGAGAAGGTAATGTGGTCTGATGAGACAAAAATAGAGCTTTTTGGTCTAAACACCACTCGCCGTGTTTGGAGGAAGAAGAAGGATGAGTACAACCCCAAGAACACCATCCCAACCGTGATGCATGGAGGTGGAAACATCATTCTTTGGGGATGCTTTTCTACAAAGGGGACAGGACGACTGCACCGTATTGAGGGGAGGACGGATGGGGCCTTGTATCGCGAGATCTTGGCCAACAACCTCCTTCCCTCAGTAAGAGCATTGAAGATGGGTCGTGGCTGGGTCTTCCAGCATGACAACGACCCGAAACACACAGCCAGGGCAACTAAGGAGTGGCTCCGTAAGAAACATCTCAAGGTCCTGGATAGGCCTAGCCAGTCTCCAGACCTGAACCCAATAGAAAATCTTTGGAGGGAGCTGAAAGTCCGTATTTCCCAGCGACAGCCCCGAAACCTGAAGGATCTGGAGAAGGTCTGTATGGAGGAGTGGGCCAAAATCCCTGCTGCAGTGTGTGCAAACCTGGTCAAGACCTACAGGAAATGTATGATCTCTGTAATTGCAAACAAGGGTTTCTGTACCAAATATTAAGTTCTGCTTTTCTGATGTATCAAATACGTATGTCATGCAATAAAATGCAAATTAATTACTTAAAAATCATACAATGTGATTTTCTGGATTTTTGTTTTAGATTCCGTCTCTCACAGTTGAAGTGTACTTATGATAAAAATTACAGACCTCTATATGCTTTGTAAGTAGGAAAACCTGCAAAATCGGCAGTGTATCAATTACTTGTTCTCTCCACTGTATGTTTTAGATGCGGATTTCGTCATAACCTTTCGTTCCCTTCGAGGTAAATCTAGCTCTGATTTATTCTTTATGGTCACTATCTTGCCCGTAACCGGTATACTAAATTGACTTCCCATTTTCATGTATTATTAGTTTATACAATATTAGTAATTAAATGTTAGAATTAAATCTCCACCTTAATGTTTAGTAAAATTTTGTTGGGCTATTTTGTTTTGTTGGTGCTACTATTCAATATGTTACATTGCATCTGCTCCCTCTCCTGGCCGTTTTGAGTAATTCACAAAATACTAATTCTCTCTTCATCACAGTACTCTACTTATGGCTTATTTTAACTGTAACCCTCTACCAAGGACTTTAACCTTAAACCAAGTACTACAAAAGATTTTAACCTTCAACCAAGTACTACCAAGGATTTTAACCTTAAACCAAGGACTCAAACCTTAATATCTAACACTGTAGCCTTCTACTAAGGATTTTAACCTTCAACCAAGGACTTGAACCTTAATATCTATAACCTTTCGTCACAGGACTCGAACCTATGAACAATGTCTATTCTTTCATCACATTACTTGATCTAGGACTTGAACCTATTTTATCTAGGACTTGAACCTACTTTATCTACTTAATCTAGTCATTTTGAGGACTCGAACCTCTGACCTGTTGTACACCTTATAATCTCGTCATGTTGAGGACTCGAACCTCTGACCTATTTTTTTATGTCGTACACATTAAAATACCCTACGCCCAATCTTATTAAACCCAATCTACTTCTTCTGTTTTGTGTTTTGTCCTTACTCTGACCAAACCCTGCTTAGAATAATAGCATCATATTATTGTCTAATTTGATCCTTCTACTTACATCCGTTATGCATACCTCAACACCACTAATCGTCCCCCTTAAAAATATGATTATTTAAACGTTCGTCACAGTTTAGCTTTACCACAGATAAGCAGAATTTGACATAATCAAAAAAATTAAAGTCTGCTTACCTGTTAGTTCGGCTGTAAACTGCATCCTGTTCGTTTAGACACCAATCTGTTATGATGAGTTTCTGGTATTGAGAAGTTCAGGATCCAAGAGAGTATGTTACACAGATGGAGATTGGATTCAGTCATTATTTAATGGTTACAATGTTTGATTCAATGACAGGCTGCACGTGCTTTGCCTCTTGCCATCTGAATGACTTCCATAGACAATCTCTCAGTTTATATACTGCTCTTCCAACGTACTTTTATCTTATCCAGTTGCTAACCATTATTGATTGTCACTCATCCACCACCATATCATCTACCTCCTTGGTGTAGTGTGGCACCCTAGCCAGGCCATTCCATCACACACCCATCCTAAGATTAGCACCAGTGGCCCCCAATCTATCTTGACACACTGACCTTCTATTACTCACTCGTGACACCACTAACACATGGTGTGTCCTTGTCCTGTGTCCACATACAGCTTATGAGTTGCACATACATTAATGAATCTTGTATCACAAATCATCATAACACCTTACAACCTTTTTGGGGGTTTGTATCATTTGATTTACACAACATGCCTACCACTTTGAAGATGGAAAATACGTTTTATTTGCGAAAAAAACAAGAAATAAGACAAAAAAAAAGAAATCTTGAGCGTGCTAAACTATTCAACGCCCAAAGGCAATACTTTGTAGAGCCACCTTTTGCAGCAATTACAGCTGCAGGTCTCTTGGGGTATGTCTCTATAAGCTTGGCACATCTAGCCACTGGGATTTTTGCCCATTCTTCAAGGCAAAACTGCTCCAGCTCCTTCAAGTTGGATGGGTTCCACTGGTGTAAAGCAATCTTTAAATCATACCACAGATTCTCAATTGGATTGAGGTCTGGGCTTTGACTAGGCCATTCCAAGACATTTAAATGTTTCCCCTTAAACCAATCGAGTGTTACATTAGCCGTATGCCTAGGGTCATTGCCCTGCTGGAAGGTGAACCTCCGTCCCAGTCTCAAATCTCTGGAAAGCTGAAACAGGTTTCCCTCAAGAATTTCCCTGTATTTCGCGCCATCCATCATTCCTTCAATTCTGACCAGTTTCCCAGTCCCTGCCGATGAAAAACATCCCCACAGCATGATGCTGCCACCACCATGCTTCACTGTGGGGATGGTGTACTCGGGGTGATGAGAGGTGTTGGGTTTGCGCCAGACATAGCGTTTTCCTTGATGGCCAAAAAGCTAAATTCTAGTCTCATCTGACCAGAGTACCTTCTTCCATATGTTTGGGGAGTCTCCCACATGCATTTTGGCGAACACCAAACGTGTTTGCTTATTTTTTTCTTTAAGCAACAGCTTTTTTTCTGGCCACTCTTCCGTAAAGCCCAGCTCTGTGAAGTGTGTGGCTTAAAGTGGTCCTATGGACAGATACTCCAATCTCCGCTGTGGAGCTTTGCAGCTCCTTCAGGGTTATCATTGGACTCATTGTTGCCTCTCTGATTAATGCCCTCCTTGCCTGGTCCATGAGTTTTGGTGGGCGGCCCTCTCTTGGCAGGTTTGTTGTGTTGCCATATTCTTTCAATTTTTTAATAATGGATTTAATGGTGCTCCGTGGGATGTTCAAAGTTTCCTATATTTACACTTAGATTGCACACAGGTGGACTTTATTTAACTCATTATGTTACTTCTGAAGGTAATTGGTTGCACCAGATCTTATTTAGGGGCTTCATAGCAAAGGGGGCGAATACATATGCACGCACCACTTTTCCGTTATTTATTTTTAGGAATTTCTTTCAATTCACCAATTTGGACTATTTTGTACATGTCCATAACATGAAATCCAAATAAAAATCAATTTAAATTGCAGGTTGTAATGTAACAAAATTGGAAAAACGCCAAGGGGGATGAATACTTTTGCAAGGCACTGTGGAGCCATGGCTACATGGAACTCTATTCCACATCAAGTAACTCACGCAAGCAGTAAAATCTGATTTTAAAAAACACCTTATGGAACAGCGAGGACTGTGAAGAGTCATACACACAGGTACAAACACACACACACACACACACACACAAACACACATAACATACACACTATACACACACATACACCTGGATTGTGTGTTGTAGTACAGCAGTGGCTGGAGGGCACACACTTAAATTGTATTATAATGAATATTACTGCCTTAATTTTTGCTGGATCCCAGGAAGAGTAGCTGCTGTCTTGGGATCAGCTAATGGGGATCCATAATAAATACAAATAAAATACTGTAGAGTCCATAGATGTTATTAACTGTCATGTCAGAAGTTGATCAGGCAAGTTTCACTACCAGGTAGTTGTCACAATACACTTTGTCTATTACGTTTCCACACAAATGCAATCAAATAGTTAAAGACAGTGTTATGAGGAATTTTGCAAAAGAGTACAACGATATTACACAAATTAAAATACACACCCTGTTGGGTGTCATGATGACGTTATACTGTAGTGGATAACATAAAGCAAGGTACCTGTTATAGGACATGGCTGCTAAATTGCAGAATTCAAGAGATCCATATGTGTAAATGCAAAAGATATGTAGGTAACAGTATACAGTGGAAACTGCATAGACATCTGAAACCAAATGAGTCATGAGAGCAGGAAACAAACCAGTGCTGCCATACAACTCATTCACAATCAAACTGCACAGAAACAGATATACTACCTGCTCGTCGAACATCTCATTCCAAAATCATGGGCATTAATATGGATTTGGTCCCCCCTTTGCTGTTATAACAGCCTCCACTTTTCTGGGAAGGCTTTCCACTAGATGTTGGAACATTGCTTCGTGGACTTGTTTCCATTCAGCCACAGTAGAATTTATGAGGTTGGGCACTGATGTTGGGCGATTAGGCCTGGCTCGCAGTCGGCGTTCCAATTCATCCCAAAGGTGTTCGATGGGGTTGAGGTCAGGGCTCTGTGCAGGCCAGTCAAGTTCTTCCACACCGATCTCAACAAACCATTTCTGTATGGATCTCGCTTTGGGAAAGGGGATACCTATTCAGTTGTACAACTGAATACATTCCACTGAAATGTGTCTGCCGCATTTAACCCAACTCCTCTGAACTTTGTGTACGGGGTCATTGTCATTCTGAAACAGGAAAGGGCCTCCCCAAACTGTTGCCACAAAGTTGGAAGCACAAAATCATCTAGAATGTAATTGTATGCTGTACCGTTAAGATTTCCCTTCACTGGAACTGAGGGGCTTAGCCCCAACCATGAACAACAGCCCCAGACCATTATTACTCCTCCATCAAACTTTACAGTTGGCACTATGCATTCGGGAATGCAGTGTTCTCCTGGCATCCGCCAAACCCAGATTCATCCCTCGGACTGCCAGATGGTGAAGTGTGATTAATAACAATTTAATCCATTTTAGAATAAGGCTGTAATGTAACAACATTTGGAAAAGGTCAAGGGGTCTGAATACTTTCCGAATGCAATTGATAGGATAACATTGTCACCCATCAGACTTCTTAATTTAATCTTGTCTTTACATATACTAATAATATATGTGTGAAATTAGATTTGATGTAGAACAAACCATTTTCATGCACCTGTCTCAGAACAGGGGCAGGGGGGGGAAAATAAATGTAATCTATGCACTTAAATAGCGAATGGAGGACTATTTTCCTGTGGTTCATTTTCATGCCAGCCAGGTAGGCTATACTCCTGTTGTAAAACGAAGCAATGTGCTTAATATTAGGAAAGTTGAGAAATAAATATAGTAGACCTAGCCTATAGAAAGCTGATGGGACCCTCCTCTTTTTAATACAGGCCATCAAAACTCTGTTTTCTCACGCAATTGCATAGCCTACAGAAATGTTGCTCAACATGAGCTCATGGGCTCTCATGAAGTGTTTGATTTGATTTTCGATACATTTGCATTGATGTCAAAGTGATTAGCGGGACAATACAATGCTCAGTACCAGGCAGTTAGAAAGTTTTGTAGGCTACTAATGACCATCTGCAGCATCAGAGCTTGGAGAAGCCTAGTCTCCAAGCTCTGTAGCTCAATTGGTAGCTCAATTGGTAGCTCAATTGGTAGCTCAATTGGTAGCTCAATTGGTAGCTCAATTGGTAGCTCAATTGGTAGCTCAATTGGTAGCTCAATTGGTAGCTCAATTGGTAGCTCAATTGGTAGCTCAATTGGTAGCTCAATTGGTAGCTCAATTGGTAGCTCAATTGGTAGCTCAATTGGTAGCTCAATTGGTAGCTCAATTGGTAGCTCAATTGGTAGCTCAATTGGTAGCGCATGGCGCTTGTAACGCCAGGGTAGTGGGTTCGATCCCCGGGACCACCCATACGTAAAAAATTTATCACTCATGACTGTAAGTCGTTTTGAATAAAAGCGTCTGCTAAATGGCATATTATTATTATATTATTAGTCACCGTGACTAAATGGTCATGTGGAATTTGACTGCGGTCATGACTTGTGACCACCGGTGTGGCGGTAATATGGTCTAACGAGAGACAAGCTACGGCGACCAAGGGCTACCTCTGTTGTTGTTTCAGCCTCTCTGATCTCACAGGTAGGTATTGCTAAATTGTTTTAAAGGGAATTGAGAGATACAGTGGAGTAATGACCTGTTATTTAAAGACTGATGGCAAAATTCTGTGAACATGTTTTGTTGCTCAATTGACCATCTTTTAAATGGACAGGCATTCAAGTCGTTAATTAACATCCCAATGTCTCTGCATTTCTATGTGGTATACACTTTTATATTATATATAATTTTTTACCTTCCCTTGAAAAACTTCCCATATAAATAGGGTGGCAGAATATAACCCATTTCAAACAACTGAAACCACAAAGAAGCTGTCTTTAATGACTGCAATCTCCAGCAAGACTAAAACCAGTGGCCATCTGTCAAGTTGCATATATAAAGGGTATTGTGTTTCAGTCATCCCTGAGCCTAATATGAGTCAGGCCTGTGTACTACAGGTGTATGATCTTAATATGATCACACTGTTGTTGCAGGAAATGTCCTGCATTGCAGGAAATGCAAACGTGTTGTGTATGAGGTTAAAAAACGCTTCTAAAGTTTGTAATTTTCTCTGACATTTCAGACTTAATTAGCCAAAAGATTTATCAACCCTACAAAGATATCCATTCATTATAGTCGGCATAATAATTCACATTTCCTATTACTTAAGGATGATTTTCCTTCTGTGAGAAACTAGTCAAATTAAGATCCTGTATGGTGAGGTAAGAGAGGTTTCAAGTTCAAGGTTTCAAGTTAATTAAAAGTATTAACTTGTACACTTCTCTTACACATGCTACATTCAAATATATAAATTATTGGGGAGTATGAGGTCCCTGGCTGGATGGGTTGTGCCAATCAAGAGGTCAGCTGCAATGAGGCCTGTGAACATTTTGCTGGGGGTAGAGAGATGATATGGACCACTTCAATATCAACTCTATGAAGGTTATAGTACTTTGTACTAACACCAGTTATTATACGCTCCGTAAATATTTTGCAATTGAAATGTTTTTCATTAAATAAAATGAAATAATTTGTTCATAAAATGGCTATTCAAGTCTAGTCCTCCTCTAATTGACTTCCTGGAGCTGAACAGGTGTAACATATCAAAATTGCACACATGAGCAAAACTTTGCTGAGATCTGTGCATTTTGTGGAAAGCCTTTAGAGATGAAGAAAATGTAACCCTAGGTCTACTAAAAAATATGTAGAATTGCCGCCATGGGGCAGCTGGACGCGGAGGTTGTATGCAATACAGTACCGTAGCCTACCTAATACACTACCAGTCAAAAGTTTGGACACACCTACTCATTCAAGGGGTTTTCTTTATTTTTACTATTTTCATTGTAGAATAATAGTGAAGACATCAAAACCATGAAATAACACATATGGAATCATGTAGTAACCAAAAAAGTGTTAAACAATTCCAAATATATTTTATTTTTGGGGGTACCGGAGACCCCTCCTGACCAACATCCGACTCTCCGATCAGCCAGCGAATGCCACAACCGAAGGAGCGAAGGACAACCGGAAGCTCCTCCCGGCCAACGTCCGACTCTCCGACCATAGAACAAACGTTCCAGTCGACGCAATGAGGGAGCACCAGAGATCCCTCCCGACCAACGTCCGACACCCCAACTATCCAACAGACGTCACAACCAACGGAGCGAGGACAACCGGAAGCCCAACCTCCGTGACCGAGTGGTACACAGCAGACTATAACCCCACTTCGACCAACTCAACAGCATCCGCGGCTCGAAATGCAGCACCGACATGTGGATACACAGCCCCTACAGAACCCACACTCTACACACAACCAACTGTGTCTACGCCCTCATCTGCAAAACCTGCAACGCCATCTACATCGGGGAAACCGGCGGGTCCCTACACACCCGCTTCACCCAACATCTTTACAACCGCTCTACCTTTCGCCGCACCAACACACCCCTCAAACACCACTTCCTTAAAATACACCACTCCGAATAACTCCGCATGACTGCTCTCTAACACAATCCCAAGTGGACCATCAAACAATAACACAGCAGGGAGCGCTACTGGATCGCCTGGCTGGCCACCACTATACGCAACGGACTCAACAAAAGGGCATCACAATCCCTCCACGACTAAGGGCGGGTAGAATATCAAACCAGCAGCGGAAACAATCACAGCCAAAGCGACAGCGTCACATCAAACCCTCAAACCCCACCAACACCACCACAATGCCACCCATCCCGTTACCAACACCTGCCTCTAAGTCGCAGTCTGAGACACAGGGTTGCCACAAACATGGGCCCTTCAACATCTCCACCACACACCACATGATACTTAGGGTTGCCACGACTACGGGCCCTGTAACGTCTTGGGCTTGGGCTGGAGATGCAGGTCTACCATGACCATGGGCCCTACGGGACACGTGGGGCGGCCTGAAAAATACGGGCCCCACCACGTCTCTCGACCCAAGCCTCAGACTGAGGGTTGCCAAAACCATGGGCCCTCCATCAACATCAATCAAGGGAGCAACACAACTCATCCCACCCACCCATCCAACCATCACTCATTGCAACAAGCTGGGGAACAAAAGGGTTGCCGAAACCACGGGCCCTTTAACGTCCCCAGCCATCGTGGGAACAACACAGCCTCCTAACATCCACCCGTACGCATGCCCGCCTCCCCTCTGTCCGCCCTCCAACCAACCAACAAACCAACCAACCACACACGTCGAGGGATGCTCATCTACAACCCTGGGTCCGCTTAGTCCCCCGTCGTGCCGTTTGTGCACAAAGCTACCACTAGCAACTTAGGCCTGTCCGGAGCTCCCAACACTGGGCACACACTATGGTAATAAAGGTAAATCCAACTGCCTATAGGACAAGGACGGATGGTCTCCCCTTCTCCCTCCCTTACTTCTCCCCATCTTTGAGACCGTGGAATTCTAACCTTGACCCCGCTACCACAAGGGGCTAGAGGTGGATTGCCACTCCAAATGATGCACGGGATAAGACGCCCCAAAAAAGGAGATGCTGCCCTACGCAATCGGAATTCCAGAAACTTGAATTGCTGCAACGCCACATACATCGGGGAAACAAGCGGGTCCCTACTAATTGCTACTGTGGCTGAATGGAAACAAGTCCCCGAAGCAATGTTCCAACATCTAGTGGAAAGCCTTCCCAGAAAAGTGGAGGCTGTTATAGCAGCAAAGGGGGAACCAAATCCACAATGAGACCAGCCATTTTACGCAGTGCAAACCATTTCGCACCAGGGCCTGTTATCAAAATCCTCCTCTCTCTCTCACTCGCTCAAATGCTAAAGCATTAATTGTATTAATAAATGTCCTACTGCTACTGTAGACCTAGGTCGTATTACTGGAAAAATGTCTCTGAAATGCAACAATACATATCAATAACCGTTGTTTATATAGCTTAATAACAAGATAGATATTGGTCTCCACTATGACATACAACTGTCAAGTGTTTTCAAAATGCAGCCGTAGGCTCCACCTAAACTATAGCCTACTGTAGCCTATCAAAACTAATTTAACACAAAGGCGTATAATATGAAATTGAGAAAAGTGCAGCCTGGTCTCATAGACTAGACGTAACATAGTAAATGTAAATTCGTCTCACTCTAATATGTATGATATGTTATGTTTGGTATGGTTACATAAGTCAGAAGGTTACTTAATACAAAAAGAAAAAGAGGGTCGGTAGGTGGTTGGTTAGTATTATAGGTTACAAATTGTAATTTGTAACAAATCATACTAAATGGAGGAAGCAGATTTACATGTACTATGTTACGTCTACCACTGAGTCCAGGTTGAATAGTGAGGCAGCCTATGGAATGAAGTGCAATGGCACATGAAAGAGAGCGATTTTATAACAAACAAATAACATGCAATAAATGCAGCCCATATTTTTTTTTTATCTTCAGCAACAGTCAAATGTTTGGACACACCCACTCATTGAAGGGTTTTTCTTTATTTTGACTGTTCTCTACATTGTAGAATAATAGTGAAGACATCAAAACTATGAAATAACACATATGGAATAATTTTGTAACCCAAAAAGTGTTCAAGAAATCAAAATATATCTTGTATTTTTGATTCTTCAAAGTAGCCACATTTTGCCTTGACAGCTTTGCATAGTCTCAACCAGCTTCATGAGCAATGCTTTTCCAACAGTCTTTAAGGAGTTCCCACATATGCTGAGCACTTGTTGGCTGCTTTTCCTTCACTCTGAGGTCCAACGCATCCCAAACCACCTCAATTGGGTTGAGGTCGGGGAATTGTGGAGGCCAGGTTATTTGATGCAGCACTCCATTACTCTCCTTGGTCAAATAGCCCTTACACAGCCTGGAGGTGTGTTTTGGGTCATTGTCCTGTTGAAAAACAAATGATAGTCCCACTAAGCGCAAACCAGATGGGATGGTGTATCGCTGCAGAATGCTGTTGTAGTCATGCTGGTTAAGTATGCCTTGAATTCTAAATAAATCACAGACAGTGTCACCAGCAAAGCACCCCCACACCATCACACCTCCTCCTCCATGCTTCACGGTGGGAACCACACATGCGGAGATCATCTGTTCACCTACTCTGTGTCTCACAAAGACACAGCAGTTGGAAAGAAAAATCTAAAATTTGGACTCATCAGACCAAAGGACAGATTTCCACCGGTCTAATGTCCATTGCTCGTGTTTCTTGGCCCAAGCAAGTCTCTTCTTCTTTTTGGTGTCCTTTAGTAGTGGTTTCTTTGCAGCAATTCAACCATGAAGGCCTGATTCATGCAGTCTCCTCTGAACAGTTGATTTTGAGATTTGTCTGTTACTTGAACTCTGTGAAGCAGTTATTTTGGGCTGCAATCTGAGGTGCAGATAACTCTAATGAACTTAACCTCTGCAGCAGAGGTAAATCATTGGTATTCCTTTCCTGTGGCAGTCCTCTTGAGCGTCAGTTTCATCATAGCGCTTGATGGTTTTTTGCGACTGCACTTTAAGAAACTTTAAAAGTTCTTGAAATTTGGCGGATTGACTGACCTTCATGTCTTAATGTAATGATGGACTGTCGTTTGTCTTTGCTCATTTGAGCTGTTCTTGCCATAATTTTGACTTGGTATTTTTCCAAATAGGGGTAACTTCTCTATACCAACCCTACCTTGTCACAACACAACTGATTGGCTCAAAGGCACACCTGTTAATTGAAATGCATTCCAGGTGACTAACTCATGAAGCTGGTTGAGAGAATGCCAAGTGTATGCAAAGCTGTCATCAAGGCTAAGGGTGGCTATTTTGAAGAATCTCAAATATAAAATATATTTCGATTTGTTTAACACTTTTTTGATTACTACATGTGTTATTTCGTAGTTTTGATGTCTTCACTATTATTCTACAATTTAGAAAAAAGTAAAATTAAAGATAAACCCTTGAATGAGTAGGTGTGTCCAAACTTTATACTGGTACTGTAATAATATATAATGTGTTTTTTTTTTCCTCGCGCCGGACCACTGACTTAAAATGTTATGCTGTACCAGAGGTGTTCTTCATGTTAAAACAAACACACCCCACAATATATCATTATATAGTGGTATTAAACAACACCTGTGCTTAAATTACAGTGTGAACATACATTTAAGAATTAAGCAGAAACAGACGGGCCAGGTAGTTAGGGCAAATGCCATACGGGCTGGTCCATCTTTAGCTCAGTGGCCGGTCTAAAAAGTTTGTAACCTTAGAGATAAGTGGAGGACTGTAGTTGCCAAAAGCCAGTTTTAGCATGGGCTGCGCCACTGAGGACATTCACCATTTTGAAGTAGTAACTGGGTGGGACTTCCTGTGAGTTAATGAAGGATCACATAATTCCTTATAGGTCACCAGGAGGGATCAGCCAATGAATTATACTTATGAGCAGATATTCCATAACTGCAGTTGGCAGTAAATAGCCAACCTTGTCTTTATACCTGTTCAAAAAACACACTCCAGGTGGCAGTATGCACCCTTCCAGTTTGTTTGCCAACTCGTAGAAGTAGTAGCAGAAAATTGACTACTTCAAAATGGAGATGGCCTCAATGGTGCTTCCAGTGCTCTCGCAGATACCATAATAGGACAGATACACTGATGCAATGTTTATCTAAATCTATGTTTCTAACGCAAACTGAGGTGTCTTTTGGTGAAGTGTAGTTGTGGGGAATTTAGCTGATCTTCGTCATTGTATATGAAGCTCCAAAATGCATTGGAATTATTTTAATTTACATTTACAATAAATAATGTTTTGTTTATTGTAGCATGACTAAATAAATAAACAACTGTTTGATCAAGCAAATGGATTCATCCCTTTTATTTTACAGGAAATTGTGTATTTTACTAGGACAAGAAACAAAATCCAACAGTTTTCTAATTGACATTTCCTCAGTATTTCTAAAAGATCTGCTAGATCCTTCACTACTAGAGGAATAGTTTATTGCCCATTTGTGGAAACTGAATTTAATGGATGCTTACATCCTTTTGCTCTTTCCCCAACCCCCCTGAAACAGAAATACATGTCCATTGACATGCTTGAAGAACATAGGGTCAGTGACACAGCAGCATCCCTGATTTGACTTTACTACAGTGCTTTACAGTAGTATGACAGTAAAATACATTTAATGGAAATGCATAAGAATTTACAGAAATAAAATGCGATACAAATGATTAGGTTGATGATAAAAACAAATGTACAGTATAAGCAGTCAGTTCTTCCAGCAGTTCTGGCAGCTCACATTCTGACAGATATTCCTGTCAGTCCTGGGATTCAAACCGGTAACCCTGTCCCTGCTACTGTACAATCTAAAGTCATAATTGGTACCAGTTTAGGTTCAGATTTCTGATCTCCTTGGTCCTAATCCCAATATGATAGGGTGCAACAGTGATGGAACATAACATAGCCACAGGAAGTAGGGGTGCTGAGGGTGATGCACCCCTGAAAAATCAGAGTTACTTAAAAATATGAATATTTTTGGGCAACTTTTTTTCTCACAAAAGTAGTGCACTGAGCCATTACAAGTCCTGCATTAACAGACCGAAATAGCCTTATGTAGCGCAGGCATAGTGTTTTATCCCCCACGGCTATGGAACAGAATGAACTGTACTGATATTAATACATTAACCTCTCTGGTTGCTGTGTTGTGCCTGTTGTAAATAAGAGAAAAAAGGGTGGCTGCAGAGAAGTTGATGAAAGAGATCAAGTGGGGAGCACACGTATTAAAAGCCTTTTGTGACTCCTTTTAGGCTTTTAATCAAACAAGTAATATTTTTACATATGAGAGTCCAACTAACACAAAAGGTAAAACCACTAGGCTTGCTATGATACATATACCATACAGGTTACTCAGTGCACTTTCAACACAGGATAATTTATCAACTGCTAAGTGAGAGAAAATGGTTATGGGAATAAAATATACCAAGGTTAACAACATCTTCACATTATAAGGGGTCATAATGCTATGATATTGTAATGGCTTACAAATGGAGACAAACCTGTCATAAACCATCCCTGCTAGAATAATGTAAGCACACGTTACATATACATTGCAGAAACACCTGCACTATACAACCTTCATGTTCCCTTTATCTCTGCCTCATAGCAAAATGTGTAGAACTGCAGGAAATTAACTTGAAAACTGCAACAAAATAAATCATTTTCACGATGACAGACGTTTTAGGAAGATGGGCAGGGACACAGCTGTCCTAACGTTAGGTGGCCAATAGACCAGAGGTGGCAGAATGGGTCGGGGTGTAGGGTCGTCCCAAAGATCCCACTTAGCATCTGTTTGAGCATAGCCTGAATGTAGGGAGGGTAGTTCCCTTTGATGCTCCGTAGTTATGCAGTTAATTAACATGACACAAAACATTCTCAGTTACAATACATAATAAACTTGCGACAATTGTTTAAGTAATCTTTGGGCTACAGAGAAATTATGCCAAAATGACACCTGTATTAGTACATTCAATGATAGCAACTATAAGAAACAAAACACATAATGAAATATTACAAAAATAAACAATCAGGTTATTTTTTAGAGTTAAGGCCTAGTACCTTTTTACAAGCCTGCCTGATTTTAACCATCCGTACACCATACATAAAAGGATTGAAAAGTGGTGGACATACCAGAAAATAAACAAATAAAATAGTGCGAAGTATAGGTGGAATATGTGCAGTTTCATATCTGCCTTGTTGAATCAAAAATAAACAGCCAAAGAAGAAGTTCAGCAAAGAGGCTATATGTGGCGTACAAGTGTTAAATGCTTTCTGTTTCGTATCTTTTGAAGACTTTAAACATATTTGTAGAATTCTTACATATGAGTATATTGTAGGACATATAGTACAAGAAAAAGTCAGCAAAGTGCCAGCAAGACCCGCTATATTATTCAGTATAGTATTTGAACATGCAAGCTTGACTACGGAGTAGTTGTCACAATACGCTCTGTCTAGAACGTTACCACAAAATTGCAGTCGCAAAGTCAGGGAGATAATGATGGCGTTGATGAAAAAAGAATACACCCAGGACAGTAGAATTAAGCCACAAATTTTTTTAGGTGTCATAATATTGTTATATTCTAGAGGATAACAAATAGAAATATACCTGTCATAGGACATAACTGCTATATTACTAAATTCTGTTAGAACGTATGTGTACAACACATAAATCTGGAGACAACAATAAAGAAGGGAAATATCATGTGTGTCAGAGAGCAAGTTAAACATGAGAGCAGGAAACAAACCAGTGCTCCCATACAACTGATTAACAAACAAAGCACATAGAAACAGATACATGGGTTCATGAAGGCTTCTTTCAATGCAGATAACTCCAATAAGGAAAGCATTGGCAAGAATTATGACAAAATATAATACAGTTACTACAGCATAGTAGAAATACTTCAATTGTCCGATATCCCCGTATGCAGCAAGCCTAAAGACCTTGAAGTGAGTAGAGTTCTCCATGGTCCTGGGAGTTAGTAAAGATGTGCTGTCAATGTTTGAAGAAGAGGGGCAAATCCTCCTACTGTAGCTTACATATAAGTTAAAACAATGAAATCACAAAGAACAGACAACCTAAATTGATAATTCCTTGACTTGTTGATTCAGCTCCTCACTTGATTCTTATACTTGTGAGATTGAATAAAAAAACGCCTGCCATGGTGTGATATGCAAATAGTCACCATCACCTGGGGAACATTAGATATTTTCAGCGTCAAGGAAACCCTATAGAGAAAAACAGATACCATTTTGTAACACAGGCCTTCCAGGGTGTTCAAAGTCTTTCTTAGAAAATCCCCCCAAAACCACTAATTCTTATAATTTACAGTGTTAAATAACACTAATATGTGAGAACAATCGTATTTTTTTTTTAACTAATGTTTCATTTTGGCATTATTATAAGGTTGGAAGGATCATGTGAAAATTGTTGTGGAAATCTGTTTCAGCTCAAGTCGATTACAAAATCCACAAGGCAATGCTCTCTCTATGGGCTGGGTGTAAAATTGCCTAAAGAAACTGCACTATTTTAGGAGTCTACAATCTCACCATGTTCAACCTGCAGATCGATTTGCTTCACAGTGGAGTCTGACATTAGCAACGGCAACATGCAATGCACCCTGGACTGAAGAGGCAGACAAATAGGAGACATGTGGTAGACCCTCTGTTAAAATACAAATTTATTTAGGTAGGAATATCGGTCTCGCTTTAAATGACAAATGCAGCTTATAAAGCCTTCATAAACACTACATAAATGTGTTACAAATCATCTATAATGCCATGCTTTTATAAAGGGTTCATAAATGTGGCATAACTGTGTGACATAACCCAATATGTCAACTATGACATAAACCTGTGCTTTATAAAGGGTGGCATAAGCACCGCTTACTAAAGGCCTTACATCATATTAAATTGAGGCATCACAAATGTATAACCCTGCCATGCATCTTGGTAGAGCATTGCAACACCAGGATAGTAGGTTCGATTTCCAGGGCCACCCACACGTAAAAATGTATTCACATGTGACTAAGTTGCTTTGGATAAAAGTGTCAGATATATTTGATAAATTGTATTACTCTAAAACATTTCTTTGCTGTCCCCACCTGCTTCAAGATTTCAACCAGTGTTCCTGTACCCCAAGAAAGCAAAGGTAACTGAACTAAATGACTATCGCCCCGTAGCACTCACTTCTGTCATCATGAAGTGCTTTGAGAGGCTAGTCAAGGATCATATCACCTTACCTGTCACCCTAGACCCACTTCAATTTGCATACTGCCCCAATAGATCTACAGACGATGCAATCGCCATCACACTGCACACTGTCCTATCCCTTCTGGACAAGAGGAATACCTATGTAATGCTGTTCATTGACTAGCTCAGCCTTCAGCACCATAGTACCCTCCAAGCTCATCAATAAGCTCGGGGCCCTGGATCTGAACCCCGCCCTGTGCAACTGGGTGCTGGACTTCTTGACGGGCTGCCCCCAGGTGGTGAAGGTAAGAAGCAACACCTCCACTTCGCTGATCCTCAACACAGGGGACCCACAATGGTGCGAGCTCAGCCCCATCCAGTAATCCCTGTTCACCAATGACTGCGTGGCCACGTACTCCTCCAACTCAATCATCAAGTTTGCAGACGACACAACAGTAGTAGGCCTGATTACCAACAATGACGAGACAGCCTACAGGGAGGAGGTGAGGGCCCTGGTGGAGTGGTGCCAGGAAAATAACCTCTCCCACAACATCAACAAAACGAAGGAGCTGATCGTGGACTTAAGGAAACAGCAGAGGGAGCACGCCTCTATCCACTTTAAAGGCTACGCAGTGGAGAAGGTGGAAAGTTTCAAGTTCCTCGGATTACACATCACAGACAATCTGAAATGTTCCACCCACACAGACAGTGTGGTGAGGAAGGCGCAACAGCGCCTTTTCAACCTCAGGAGGCTGAAGAAATTCGGCATGGCCCCTAAGACAGTCACAATCTTTTACAGATAGACAATTGAGAGCATTCTGTCGGGCTGTATCACCGCCTGGTACGGCAAGACAAAGGAGCAGATCGTGGACTACAGGAAAAGGTGGGCCGAACAGGTCCCCATTAACATCGATGGGGCTGTAGTGGAGCGTGTCGAGAGTTTCAAGTTCCTTGGTGTCCATATCACCAACAATCTATCATGGTCCAAACACACCAAGACAGTCGTGAAGAAGGCTCCCCTCAGGACTCTGAAAATACTTGGCATGGGTCCCCAGATCCTCAAAAGGTTATACAGCTGCACCATCAAGAGCATCCTGACCGGTTGCATCACAACCTGGTATGGCAACTGCTCGGCATCTGACCGTAAGGCGCTACAGAGGGTAGTGCGTACGGCCCAGTACATCACTGGGGCCAAGCTTCCTGCAATCCAGGACAAATATACTAGGCTGTGTCAGAGGTAAGCACCAAAAATTGTCAAAGACTCCAGTCACCCAAGTCATAGACTGTTCTCTATGCTACCGCACGGCAAACAGTATTGGAGCGCCAAGTCTAGGACCAAAAGGCTCCTTAACAGCTTCTACCCCCAAGCCATAAGACTGCTGAACAATTAATCAAATGCCACCCCCCCCCCCCCCCCCCCCCACACTGCCTGCCCTCCAGGACATCAACCACCCAAGCCAGGGCCTGTTCACCCCGCTACCATCCAGAAGGCGAGGTCAGTACAGGTGCATCAATGGTGGGACCAAGAGACTGAAAAACAGCTTCTATCTCAAGGCCATCAGACTGTTAAATAGCCATCACTAGCCGGATACCACCCGGTTACTCAACCCTGCACCTTAGAGGCTGCTTTGTCATTATGGGCTATTGTGTGTAGATTGATGAGGGATAAAAACAATGTAATCAATTTTAGAATAAGGCTGTAACCTCACAAAATGTGGAAAAAGTCAATGGGTCTGAATACTTTCCGAAGGCACTGTACATAGACATGGAATCACTGGTCACTTTAATAATGTTTACATACTGCTTTACTCAATTCATATGTACAGTGAGCTCCATAATTCACTGGACAGTGACCATTCTTTTGTTATTTTGGTTCTGTACTCTAGCACTTTGAGTTTGAAAGGATACAATGACAATGAGGGTGAAGTGCAGACTGTCAGCTTTAATTTGAGGGTATTTTCATACATATCGGATGAACCGTTTACGAATTATAGAAGCTTTTGTACATGGTCCCCCCCATTTTCGGGCATCAAAAATCATTGGACAGTTTAACATAATGTAGAATAAAGTAATCATTGTTAATATTTGGTCGCATATCCTTTGCATGCAATGACTGCTTGAAGTCTGCGATGCATCGCCATCACCAGACGCTGGGTATCTTCCCTGGTGATGCTCTGCCAGGCCTGTACTGCAGCCATCTTCAGTTCCTGCTTGTTTCGGGGACTTATTGCCTTAAGTCTCCTCTTCAGCATGTAAAATGCATGTTCAATTGGATTCAGATCTGGTGATTGACTCGGCCAGTCAAGATTTTTCCACTTTTTGGCCATCAAAAACCCCTTTGTTGCTCTAGCAGTATGTTTAGGGTCATTGTCTTGTTGCGTGATTAAGTGCCGTCCAATGAGTTTGGAGGCATTTGGTTTTATCTGAGCAGATAAAATATTTCTGTAGACTTCAGAATTCATTGTTCTACTTCTGTCTGCAGTCACATCATCGATGAAGACAAGTGAGCCTGTTCCACTGGCAGCCATACAGGCCCAAGCCATAACACCCCCTCCACCATGTTTCATGGATGAGGTGGTATGCTTTGGATCATGGGCATTTCTTTTTTTCTCCACACTTTTGTCTTTCCATCACTCTGGTACATGTTAATCTTTGTCTCATCTGTCCACAATATTTTTTTCCAGAACTCTTGGGGTTCTTTTAGGTGCTTTTTAGCAAACTGTAATCTTGCCTTTCTGTTCTTCAGGCTTATCAGTGGTTTGCATCTTGTAGTGTACCCTCTGTAGTCCTGCTGGTGTAGTCTTCTGCATATGGTAGACTTTGACACATCTACACCTGCATCCAGGAGAGTGTTTTTGATCTGTTGGGCTGTTATCAGGGGGTTTTTCTTCACCATAGAGAGTATTCTCCGGTCATCCACTACAGTGGTCTTCCTCTGTCTACCGGGTCTTTTGACATAATTGAGTTCACCGGTTGTTTTTTTCTTGTTAATGATGAACAAAACTGTTGACTTGGGCATGGCCAGGGTTTTTGCAATGTTCCTGAATGATTGATTTTCATTTCTGAGCCTTATGACGGCCAACTTCATTTGCATCGACACTGCTGTCTTCCTCATGTTGTCACACCCCAATAACAACCTCCAAAGGCAATAGCAACGTCTAGAATCATTACTATTCATCAACAGCTCTCCTGCATTCACTAACGACACAAATGAATACACCTGCCTAACGACACACATCTGTGAAGCCAATTTAACAAATACTTGTAGTACCTTAAAATGGGGGGACCATGTACAAAAGGTGCTGTCATTTCTAAACGGTTCATCCGATATGTATGAAAATACCCTCAAATTAAAGCTGACAGTCTGCACTTCACGCTCATTGTCATTGTATCCTTTCAAACTCAAAGTGCTAGAGTACAGAACCAAAATAACAAAACAATGGTCACTGTCCAATGAATTATGGAGCTCAATGTATATACTGTATTCTATTTTACTGTATTTTAGTCAATGCCACTCCGATATTGCTCGTCCTAATATTGATGTATTTCTTAATTTCATTATTTTAGATTTGTGTGTATTGTTGTGAATTGTTAGATACTACTGCACTGTTGGAGCTAGGAACACAAGCATTTCGCTATACTCGCAATAACATCTGCTAAATATGTGTATGTCACCAATAAAATTTGATTTGATTTGAGTTGCTGACGAGACGCTGATAATGTGATGAGTTCGCAAATCAAATGCCCAATTGTGGTGCCAACTCGACAGCGAAAAA